TTATTTTTGTGTATGGTGTAAGTTGGTGATCTAGTTTCATTTTTTAGCATGTTATCTGTCCAATATTCCCAACACCATTTATTGAAGAGACTGTCTTGACTCCATTGTATGCTCTTGCCTCCTTTGTCAAATATTGATTGAGCATAATGGTTTGGGTCGATTTCTGGGTTCTCTGTTTTGTTCCATTAGTCTATATGTCTGTTCTAGTGCCAGTACTGGGCAATTTTGAGAACAGTGGCTTTGTAATATAGATTGATATCTGTTATTTTTATTCCTCCTACTTTGATCTTCTTTCTCAATATTGCTACAGCTATTTGGGGCCTTTTTAAATTCCAAATGAATATTTGGAGAGTTTGTTCTAGGTCTGTAAAATATGCCATTGGTATTTTAATGGGGATTGCATTGAATCTATAGCTTGCTTTGAGTAGTATGGACTTTTTAATGATGTTGATTCTACCAATTCATGAACACGGTATATTCTTCCATTTGTTTATGCCTTCCTCTATCTCTTTTTTCAGCATCCTGTATTTTTCCGAGTACAGGTCGTTGACCTCCTTGGTTAAATTTATTCCTAGGTATCTTAATTTTTGTATTGCAATGGTAAATGGGTTGTTTTTTTAGTTTTCTTTCTGTGAGTTCTTTATGGGTGTATTCAAAAGCCATAGATTTCTGGGTGTTAACTTAGTATCCTGCTACATTGCCAAATTCATTTATTAGTTCTATTATTTTTTTTGATGGAGTCTTTAGGGTTTTCTATGTATAATATCATGTCATCTGTGAATAATTTTACTCCTTATTTTCCAGTTTGGATGCCATTTATTTCTTCTTCTTGCCTCATCACTATGGCTAGCATTTCTAGTACTATGTTAAACAGGAGTGGTGAATGTGGGCAGCCTTGTCTTGTTCGTGTTCTTAGGGGGAATGGTTTTAGATTTTGCCCATTGAGTATGATTTTGGCTGAAGGTTTGTCATATAAGACCTTTATTATGTTGAGGTCTGATACCTCTAGTCCCACTTTGCTGAGAGTTTTTATGTGGAAAGTGTTAGATTTTGTCAAATGTCTTTTCTGCATCAATTGATATGATTATATGATTTTTGTCTCTCAATTTGTGTATGTGATGTATCAGTTAATTGATTTGTGGATATTGTACCAGCCTTGCATCCCCAGAATAAATTCCTCTTGGTCATGGTGTATGAACTTTCTAATGTAATGCTGGATCTGATTTGCTAGAATTTTGTTGAGGATTTTAGCATCTACAGGAATATTGGCCTGTAATTCTCTTTCTTTGTAGTATCATTATCTGGTTTTGGAATTAGGGTAATGCTAGCTTCTTAGAAAGAGATTGAAAGTGTTCCTTCCTCTTGAATTTTTTGGAATAGTCTGAGAAGGGTAGGTTTTAGTTCTTTGAATATTTGGTAAAACTGCCCTGTGAAGACATCTGGCCCCGGGCTTTAGTTTGGTGAAGGTGTTTTGATGACTGCTTCAATTTCCTCCTTAGTTATCGACCTGTTGAGATTTTATGATTCTTTTTGATTGAGTTTTGGAAGGTTGAATTTTTCTAGGAATTTGTCCATTTCCTCTTCTAGGTCAGTGGTCAGCAAACTGTGGCTTGCGAGCCACATATGGCTCTTTGGCCCCTTGAGTGTGGCTCTACCACAAAATCCCAACTTATGCGCATGGGCCACGAAGTTTCAGTCGCACTGTATGTGCGCGCCCGCATATGGTATTTTGTGGAAGAGCCACACTCAAGGGGCCAAAGAGCCGCATGTGGTTCGCGAGCCGCAGTTTGCCGACCACTGCTCTAGGTTGTTTAGTTTGTTGCAATAGAGTTGTCCATAGTATTTTTTTACAATCTTTTTTATTTCTGTGGGATCTGTTGTTATTTCACCTCTTTTATTTCTGATTGTGTTTATTTGGGTCCTCCCTCTTTGCTTCTTGATGAGCCTGGCTAGAGGTTCATCAATCTTGTTTATCCTTTTAAAGAACCAGCTCTTGGTTTCATTGATGTTTTATATTGGGTTTTTTTGTCTCTATTTCATTTATTTCTTCTCTGATCTTTATTATCTCCTTCCTTCTGCTCAATGTGGGCTTTTCTTCTTGCTTTCTTTCTAATTCTTTAAGTTGTAGAGTTAGATAATTTATTACCAGTTTTTCTTGTTTTTTTGATGTATGCTTGTATTGCTCTGAACTTCCCTCTCAGGACTGCTTTCATTGTGTCCCATAGATTTTGGAATGCTGCTTTTTCATTGTCATTTGTTTCCAGGATGTTTTTTATTTTTTCTTTGATCCCTTTGTTAACCCAATCATTGTTTAATAACATGCTATTTAACCTTCAAGTGTTTGAATTTTTTATATTGTTTTTATTTTAGTTTATTTCTAATAATATGCCATTGTGATCTGAGAAGATGCTTGATAAAATTTTGAATCTTCTTGAATTTGAAGAGACTTTGCCTGTGTCCTAATATGTGGTCTATCTTTGATAATGTCCCATGTGCACGTGAGAATAATGTATATTCTGTAGCTTTGTGGTAATTAAGTCCCTCTGATCTAGTGAGTCATTTAGGATTGCTTTTTCTTTGCTGACTTTTTGTCTAGAGGATTTATCCAGTGATGTCAACGGGGTATTAATGTCCCCTACTATGATAGTATTGCTGTCAACCTTTCCTTTGATATCTTCCAGATGTTTTTTTATGTATTTGGGTGCTCCTGCATTGGGTGCATATATGTTTACCAGAGTTATAGTCTCTTGTTTTATTAATCCTTTTAGTATTATGAAGTGGCCTTCCTTATCTGTTGTTATGACCTTCACCTTGAGGTCTATTTTGTCAGATAAAAGTATTGCTACCTTAGCTTTCTTTTTCATTTCCATTTGCCTGAAAAAATACTTTCCCATCCCTTCACCTTCAGTCTGTGTGATTCCTGTGGTTTTAGTAGGGTCTCTTATAGAAGCATATATGTGAGTCATGTTTTCTTATCCATTCAGCCACCTGATATGTTTTGATTAGAGCATTTAATCCATTATGTTTAAGGTTATTATTGATAGGTAGTTGTTTGTAATCATTTTTATTCTTTATGCCTGTGTTCCTTCTTCTCTTTCTATTTCTTCTTTTTACAACAGCCCCTTTAGCATTTCTTGCATTGCTGGCTTCATAGTGACATGAAGCCTTAGCCGTTTTTTTTTGTCTGCAAAGCTCCTGATTTCCCCTTCAATTTTAAACGATAGCTTGCTCTATAGATTATTCTTGGATTCAGTCCCTTGCTTTGCATAACTTTGTATACTTCATTCCATTCCCTTCTGGCCTGATGTATTTCTGTTGAGAAATCATTTGATAATTTAATGGGAGATTTTTTGTAGGTTATTCTCTGTCTCTCTCTTGAAGCTTTTAAGATTCTCTTTGTCATTAACATTTGCCATTGTAATTACGATATATCTTGGTGTGGGTCTTTCTGGTTTTATCTAATGTGGGTCTCTCTATGCTTATGTGACTTTTTTCTTCCCCAAATCAGGGAAGTTTTCTGTTATTTCTTCATATTGTTTTTCTAAACTTTGCTCCTCTTCTTGTCCTTTTGGCACCCCTATTATATGTATGTTACTTGGTTTCATGTTGTCTAAAAGCTCCCTTAAGCTCTCTTCCTGCTTTCTATTTTTTTTCTCCAATTGCTGTTCAGATTGGGCGTGTTTTCTGCCCTGTTTTTAACTCCACTTCTCATAATGTAGTGGTGAAACCTTCCATTGTGTTTTTTATTGTAGCTATGTCATTCTTAATTTCCTTTTGATTCTTACATTAGTTCAGTGGTGGTAAACCTTTTGAGCTTGGCGTGACAGCATTTTGAAAAACCCTAACTTAACTCTGGTGCTGTGTCACATATAGAATTTTTTTGATCTTTGCAACCATAGTAAAATAATGATTTATATTTTTGATATTTATTTTATATATTTAAATGCCATTTAACAAAGAAAAATCAACCAAAAAGATGAGTTCACCTGTCACCTCTGACATGTGTGTCATAGGTTCACCATCACTGCATTAGTTTTCTCATCCAGCTGGTTTAGGAACTGCATGATCCTTACTCAGAATTCTTTTTCTGACATATTGCACGCTCCGATTCATTTAGTTCAGCTGCTGGCAATTCCTCCTTTTCTTTCCTTTGGGGGTTGTTTCTTTGTCTCCCCATTTTTGCTGTCTCTTTCTGGCCCTGGGCTTCCTACTTAGGGTCTGAGGTGTTGAAGCCCCTAGTGGTTCAGTGACCTGGGACTCACTAGACCAGAGGCTGGGTCTG